CCTCCCTTCTCTCTGAGTGCATGCGCGTTCACGCGGTGCTGAAGGACAGCTCATCACTGGGCACGCGCGGACCAGAGATCAAATACCAGTATAATAATACAACCATTAAAAATGAGAAGGAAAAATACCCAAATAGAGTCGAAGCAAGATGGGCGTTCCGGTTCTTTAAGAGGGGTTCCGTGGATTTGGCTAGATGGTTATAGAAAGCAGAAAAACGACGACTAATGGCGCTCACGGGCTTCATGTTTGATTTTAAAAAAAAAAGAATGGGTCGTAATAACATAAATAGTGTGTTAGCGCGGAAATCAACGAAACGTATCCAAATGCGTCTTCCCTTGCGCGTTATGTAACACTCACCCCATCTCAGTGTTCTCTCGTCTCTTTCCCCCTTCCTGGATAAAAACAACACAAGCCGCCCTTCCCCGTTCCTATTTGTTGCTCGCTTAAGTCACTTGACTGACATTTCAGCCTCATTTGCATGCGCTTGTGATTTCTTTCTTACCTTCGTCCGGGTTCGCTGCTCGGTGGACGTGGGAGGTTGGACCGACGCTGCGCCTTTCCTAACGTTTTCCCCCCTCCTCCGACGCGGTGTTGTCGATCCTCCTCTTCCCTCATCCCCCCCTCCTGTTCCTGACTCATGCGGTTCCAGGAAAAAAAAAAAAAAAAAGACGTGGACGACTGAGCTGGGAGGGCAGGAAACGAAAGAATAAGAGGAGCGTGACAAAGCATGTTGGATGCATTTTTTTTTTTTTTACGTTGTGTTTTGCTGGGATGCAGAAAGGCACACTGACCTGTATGCCATACAGCCGATAGGGCGAATGCCCGGTGGGGCGGCATCTTTTAGGACTGATATGGTTAATTATTATTTTCCTCGAAGGCAGGGGGGGTCAAACTCATTTTTGTCGTGGGCCATATTTTAGTTACCGTTTCCCTTGGAGGGCCGTTATGACTCAGACCATATAAAGAAGTCAAGAAAAAATGTTTCCTCCAATTTGTTTCAGTTACTGTCATGACGGGTTTGGTTACAAGAGAATGCTTGCAGTATCCTTCTTATTTATTACAGATGAGAATTTAACATTTCGGTACAGATGTTAGCTAGCATCATGAAAATTGACATGTTTGATTTGCTTTTGCGGGCCACATAAAACGAGATGTCGGGCCAGATCTAGCCCCCGGGCCTTGAGTTTGACACCTCTGCTCTCAGGAAACATAGTTGTGAGTGCATTGTTTATCATACGATCCTCAGTCATGGTTGTACACACGGTCAGGTCTAAGCCAAAATGCGAGGGCTCATTTTTTTATTTTTTTTTGTACCAGTCAAGCCCCGCATATGAATAATGTCTCCAAGATTGAAGACCCGCAAAAAGCTGGTACAGTCACAAAACCCACAGCAAATGGTTGACGTTTGGTCAGGCAAAAACTAAATTATGTTTTGTTTCTGGACCAGACTTGACATATTTCATTCAATAAAATCCACAATATTTTAAACAACTGCTAATTTCTTTTTGAAGTGGGCAACCGCACAAATTCAGCACAAGGTCCAAAAATTCTTTCCTTCACCGTATTGCTTGTCGACTGAAATAGCCACATGATAAGTTATACAATCACATCAAGAGGCTCATCAAGTTCATCGATGTCCCCAGGAAATACAGAATCGTACAAAATAAGCACAGTGTGAATCTCGAGTTAAGCCATCTTTGGTCTGATGATTCAAAATTATGCAAACACTTTAAGGCTTAAATTAGAACAAAATCACCAGATGGGGCAAAGGTCTGTCTTCACTCTCTGTATTTAAGAAGTACCATATATGCACACACAAAAAAAGACACGTAAAAATGCAAGTACTGATTCAACTCTATTACTGAAGTAAAAGTAGAAAAAGCCTGTGAAGTGTACTTAGATGCTGGATTAATCAATGACAACATTAACTACCCCCCCCCAAAAAAAAAACATGGACAGTATGTGTTTTATTTTTCCAGGTTTACCAGAACCTTTTGAGTGTGACAAATCTCACAGCTCTACTGCCTCATAGTAGGTTGTATAGTATCCACTTTCTTGTCCTATAAAGCTCAAGGATTCAGGAAAAATTTAAGTACGTCGATCCGGACTGATTTATCAATGTTTATTTTTTTTCTATATGCTATTGACTAAATGCTGACAATTTGTTCTTCGAAGGTTTTGACGATCAAGTTGTTTGGTTCTAAGTAAATTTACTTGTGTTGAATAAACTTATTTTATTAATTGTAGTACAGAATATTTATTGATCTAACGGAGTTTTCATATAGTACAATATTGTTGAAGGCAATTTTTTTCCTGAAAAAAACATACCCCAAAAAATATTGGTGTTTGCAGGGCATCCTGGAACGGATTAATTCAATTTCCATTCATTTCAATGGGGAACAATAATTTGCGATACAGGCTGGGGGTTTTCAAAGTCATACTGTACCTAAAAACGCCGATGAATTTGTTTAGCTATAATTAATGAAACAATAGTTGGAAGATGGAAATGTTTTAATGCCACCCATAATGCAACTGTAATCCCTTAAATCATTTTCTTGTAACTGATGACCAATCTCAGATGTAAGAAAGCATAGTAGCTATTAGCAAGTGATTTTTTTTTTTTTTTTGGTATGAGGTAGGGGGGGGCGCATACAGGCTGGGGGTTTTCAAAGTCATACTGTACCTAAAAACGCCGATGAATTTGTTTAGCTATAATTAATGAAACAATAGTTGGAAGATGGAAATGTTTTAATGCCACCCATAATGCAACTGTAATCCCTTAAATCATTTTCTTGTAACTGATGACCAATCTCAGATGTAAGAAAGCATAGTAGCTATTAGCAAGTGATTTTTTTTTTTTTTTTTGGTATGAGGTCCGCACCCTCACACACCCACACACACACACACACACACACACACACACACACACACACACACACACACACACACACACACACACTTCCATCCCTTCTTGCTTCTCCTTTAACAACATCCACATTCAAATACACACGCTCCAGGCATCATTCGTCTCTCCCTCCCCTCTCCATCGTGCACCAGTAGCCTAAGCCCATAAAAAATACATCAAACACAAGCCACACGCCCGAGGCCTCGTCACACGCAAAATCATCACTCTCTCCATCTCACTCTTTTAAAAGTTACAAAACAGCTCCACTGCGGAGAAAGCCATATCAGCGGAATTGAGGCCTGTTACCGTAATGTTCACACTAACGCTTTCCACACAAGAAAAAAGGAACCTAACTTACCTTGTGCATAATAAGACTTTGTTTTTTTTGTTTTTTTTTTTTGGAATGCTTCCACAGCCTGCAGCACCGTGACCCACTTTCCTCCGCTTCGGCTCCACATCTGCTCCAGCAGAGGTCTCGGGCTGTGACAGCGGCCGAGGGCGGCCAGCACCCATGGGCCACACTGTCAGATCGCCAGTGCGGAGAAGAGATGCACATAAGAGAGCGCGAAAAACACAGACCAAGAGAAGGAGAGTGAGCCAGCACAGTTACAAAATGAGCCAAACTAGCCTGGACGTGCGAAAGTGAAATCCAGCATGGCTTGTTTTGAACTATAATTACACTTTTATCCCACATGCATAAAGTGGATGCTGCATGGCAGACAGAAAAAAAACACACCCTTGGGTGCTGCGGCTTTTGTTTCTCTTCAATTATTCCACCCTCTGTCCTCTCTTATCCTCATAATCAGAATGGAAGCGGATCCGTGTCCTCTAGATATTTAGAAGCTCGGACCTCCGTGCCAAAACGTGTAACCTTCCCGCTCTTGTGTGAAATGGGAGTTCACGGAGGTTTTGTGTTAAGTTTTACAGATTTTGACCCCACGGTTCACCCTCCTGGGGAGTGGGGGCTAAGGGGTGTGTTTGGGATGTTGGAGGAATGGAGGAAGAGAAAGCATGGAAATAAAAAATGAATATCAATCTCAAGATCCTATTAAAATCTAATTAGATTGGCTCGCTTGACCCCACAAAAAAGACCCTTGGCATTTGGAATCCGCTTCATGTCAATGAAATGCACAGTCATGGCTCAATAATAACATATCTGGACTATTCTTTTTTTCATAGACCCATGTGATGCAAAAACCACGTTAAAAGGTTAAATAAAACGATACATACTGTAAATTTGACAAAAAAAAAAAACAAAGTGAAGGCTCCCCTTAGCATTGGCTCCTAATGATGTATACTCGGGCCCTCCTGCAAGGCATCCTAACCGCAGGCCACTTGTCTCCTAATCGCCATAGCAACTAATGAGGTGGATAGACAAAAGGGTCTTGTTGAAATGTGTGCCTATTATTAGCCACTTCAAACATTAGGATTGGAATGGCGAGAATACTTAGGCGTCAAGAAGATTCTTTCATTCAGTAAATGAGCCAAAAACAAACATTGCGAGACGATGCAATACATCTTTATTTAGATAGCGCTTTCACAACAGCGGCAGATGTTACTTTTGTTCTCAATAAAACAAATTGTGCTTTGGTGTGAATGTGTGTGTCAGTGGTTGGTGCCCCGGGGGTGTTTTCAGCTTCTCACCCACAATAAGATTAGTGATGCGTATTCAACAATACAGTTTGAGTACTTTTGAAACTATGTGACGATCCAAGATAGACAACAGCATTTCCACAAATGTCTTAAAATATAATTTTATTTACATGAAATACATTATACAAAACCCAACAATTTAGACTTTAAAAACAATCCCTATGTACACACAAGCAAAAAAAAAAGAAAGTCATTTATACAATTAGCTGACTATCAATTGAACACAACATGAATTTAAACATTTAAAAAGCAAACACGAGTTTTAGTCATGTTGTAGAAATGTTAATACTCATCAGGCTATGTTCCAAATTCAGTGGTCCAAGAAGCTAAAAATGCTTCTCTGGGGTCCCTTAGTGTGTCCGGCAGATGTGTCCTGCCTGCAGACCCTCTTGGCTGCCGGGTTCACGGTTCCCGTGTTCCCCCTTCTCTTTGTTGTCTGTCGAACAAAACGCAAGTCGTCCTTAAATTTGGTGAAAAATCTCAAAAATCGTTCACATTCATGCGGCTGTCTGCTTATCGAAAATGCGGGCTTTGGCGCCGCCTTGTGGCGAAATGTTAGATTGCTTGAGTTCACCGATCAAACTGAAATTATTTTACTCATTTTTGTTGGGAGGAAAAAAAAAAAAGGAAAAAGGACACCACGCTCCAATTTTTCCATTACGACTTCTTTCATACGACACAAATATACGGTGTATTTCAGTCTTGAAAGGCACGTTACGCTCCAAAAACAAGTCACCACATTTAAAGATGTGATTTTGTGCATCGCATTGATTGAACGCCGTCCTAAAAATAA